ACCGGACGGACAGCTGGATTGGGCCCCACTGGGACTGGTGTGGCTCTCTTTGTGTGTAGTTTGATAGTAAACCAGAGACCAAAGTCATATCCGGAGGCATAAAACCTAAGCCCCCAGGTCCTCCCCTTGTACCAGTGGGGGAGCTTGTCCGCCCCTCTGCCTCGTTCTGTTAAGGAGATATTTAATCCATTACACAAAGCTTCTGTTTCACATTCCCCCCTTTTTCTGCTCCAGTGGACAGTTATCCAGTCCGAACTGGATCGGGTGGTCCAATAAGCTGACCCCGTGGTTTCACACCCCCATGCTGCGCAATAAAGGGATTCAGGCCCACCACAGCTCCGTATCTTACTCCGACTACGATCATCTCTTGGGCAAACATAAAAGGTGAGGCGGCCCAGGGAGGTACGCTTGCCACTATTTAGACACCCCGGTGTGTGATCGTTACTGGGACTATTTCCATAATAGAGTAAGTGACGCCCCCCGGTTGCTGATGGAATTTTGTTGGGGTCCTCAATCTCCGGTATGTCCCATGTGTCTAGGCCGACAGCTAGCTGGCATACGTCTGGAGATAAGGTAGGCCACCAGCTACCCGGAGTATGGACACCTTTGGTTGACCAGACTACTTGCCCTGCTGGGTTGATGACTTCCCAGGTTAAGGTTACAGGGGCATGGGGGTTACTGGCCATCGGGTTGGTTAGGCAGGGGCTTACGACAAAAGCGAAGCTTAAGAGGGTTATCAGTCCTTTCCATTGTCCATTCAGGTCCCGGTGGCGGTGCAGGCTTGAGATGAGAGGCATGGATCCAAGGAGTGATGCCATCTACTTTAACCGCAGTCGGAGTGGTCAGCAGCACCACGTAAGGTCCTTTCCACCGGGGCTCCAAGCTGTGGGTCTGGTGCCTCCTCACGAACACCGAGTCTCCAACGTGGAAGGAGTGGGGCACTTTAAGGTCTCCTGGCTGATAAGCAGTGGCCAAGGGCTTCCAGACAAATTGCTGGATTCCCTCTAAAGCCTTTAACCTGGCAAGTAAAGGAGTATGAGGTAATGAGTCTTTGTCTATGGTGGGTGACATTTTTGAGACCGGAGGTGGGGTTCCATACAGAATTTCAAAAGGGGTGAGATTATACATAGAGGGTGAGGGAGTGTTCCGAGCACGGAACAGGGCATAAGGTAGGAGCAAGGTCCAATCCTGAACGCCAGTCTCTAAGGTCAATTTAGTTAAGGTCTCCTTAATGGTTCTATTCATTCTTTCTACCAGCCCTGAACTTTGGGGACGATAAGCACAATGTAATTTCCAATTAATCCCCAATACCTTGGCCACTCCCTGACTTACCTGGGCCACGAAAGCAGGTCCGTTATCTGACCCAATTACCTGGGGCAGTCCAAATCGAGGAAAAAGTTCTTCCATAATCTTCTTAACCACCACTTGCGCTGTTTCCCTTCGGGTGGGGTAGGCCTCTACCCATCCTGAGAAAGTATCTACAAAAACTAAGAGAAATCTTAACCCATATTTAGCTGGTTTGATTTCAGTAAAGTCCACCTCCCAGAATTGGCCGGGCCGGCTTCCCCTGAGCCTTTTCCCTTCTGGTATTTGCGACGGGTGTGCATTTACAGCCTGACAGGCTCGGCAGTTTCTTGCCACCTGTTCAGCTAGTTTTCTGTTTTCCTTGGCTGCTAGAGTGAAGGGCTGCTCTTTTAATAGCTCTTGCATCTTCCTGGCCCCCAAATGAGTGAGCTGATGTACATGCTGTAAGTAGGAGGCCGCCTGTTGTTCCTTACTCCCTGTAGTTTCGGGCGTCGTGTCCTCCTCAGGAGCCTTGTTCACTAGTGCTAGAACCTCTGCCCCTTTAAGAGCTGCTGCCTTTGCTTCTTTGTCTGCCCGCCGATTTCCTGTGGCTACAGGGTCCGATCCCTTTTGATGGCCGGGGCAATGAACAATAGCTAATTTGGTAGGCAGTAGGACAGCTGCTAGTAGTCTAAGGATTTCAGCCTTGTGTTTGATGTCCTTTCCAGCTGAGGTTAACAGCCCCCTTTGCTGGTATATGGCCCCATGTACATGAGCCGTGGCGAAGGCATAACGGCTGTCCGTATAAATGGTAGCCTTCTTCCCCTTAGCCAGTTCTAAGGCTTTTGTGAGAGCAATTAGTTCCGCTTTCTGGGCGGAGGTCCCTTCTGGTAGCCCTGCAGACCATACAACCTTGTCCTTGCTAACTACCGCCGCCCCTGCGCATCTCTTACCATCCTGCAGGAAGCTGCTGCCGTCCGTGAACCAGGTCACCTCTGAGTCTGGCAGTGGAAAGTCCTTTAGGTCACGACGGATTCCTGCTTCTTCTGCCAGGATATCCTGGCAGGAGTGTAGGACCGGGTCTGCAGCCTCATCCGGAAGTAGAGTGGCAGGGTTTAAAGCAACTGGAGGTCCGAAGGTCACTCGGTCCTTGTCTAACAGAATGCTCTGATAGTGCGTGATGCGAGCATTCGAGAGCCACCGGTCTGGGGGCTGCCTGATGATACTTTCCAGCATATGAGGGGCCACAATAGTTAGTTTTTGTCCCAGAGTCAGTTTGTCCGCATCTTTGGCTAGTAAGGCAGCGGCAGCTATAGCTTTTAGACAGCGGGGCCAGCCCCCAGCTACTGAATCCAAGCGTTTGGACAGGTAGGCTACAGGTCTTTTCCAGGGTCCCAAAGTCTGGGTCAAGACCCCTCGCGCCACTCCCCCTCGCTCCTCTATGTAAAGGGTGAAGGGCTTTTCGACATCAGGAAGCGCCAATGCTGGGGCTGAAAGCAGGGCTCTTTTTATATCATCAAAGGCTCGCTGTTGTTCTGACCCCCAAGAGAATTCTGTGTCCCCCTTCAGGAGCGGGTACAGCGGGGCGGCTAGCGAGGCAAATCCCGGAATCCACAGTCTACAGAACCCAGCTGTCCCCAAGAACTCTCGGAGTTGTTTCCTGGAAGTTGGTGTGGGGATCTGCACAACAGTCTTTTTCCGCGCCTCAGTTAACCAGCGTTTTCCTCCCCGGAGAGTATACCCCAGGAAAGTAACTTCCTGTCTGCATAGTTGGGCCTTCTTAGCTGATGCCCTATACCCAAGCCGAGCGAGCTCCTGCAGTAAGGAGCGAGTCCCGTACTCACATTCTTCCCGAGACGACGCGGCCAGCAGCAGGTCATCCACATACTGGAGCAGGGTTACCTCCGGGTGCTGGGTTCTGAAGGCGCCCAGGTCCTGATGGAGGGCCTCATCGAAGATCGTGGGGGAGTTTTTAAATCCTTGGGGCAGCCTGGTCCAAGTCAGTTGCCCTGCAAGACCAGCCTCCGGGTCGGCCCATTCAAAGGCGAATAGTGGTTGACTGCTTTCGCAGAGCCGCAGGCAGAAAAAAAGGCATCCCTTTAAATCCAATACAGTGTACCAGCTCCTGTCAGGTGGAAAGGGAACTCAGAAGATTGTAAGGGTTTAGGGACAGTGGGGGGGAATGTCCCTGGACCCCTGCTGTTAACCTCTCGTAGATCTTGCACTGGTCGATAATCCCCGGTCCCCGGGTTTCCTTGACGGGAAGGAGGGGGTGGGTTCCAAGCTGACTGGAAGGCTTCAGGACGCCTCCCTGCAGTAGCTTTAGAATATGTGCCTGATTCCTTCCCGAGCTTCCTTACTCATGGGATACTGCTCACCGAATTGGAACTGCAGAGGTTTTTAAGGCAACACTACCGGAGGTTGATTTCTCGCCAGCCCTAACCCGGCCTTCTCCGCCCAGGCATCCGGATACTCACTAAGCCACCTTGTTACATCCTGTTCCTTTACCGGGGAGTCATACAGGCGGTATTCGTCCTCCATAGACATTGTCAGAGCTGTTACTACTGGTTGCTGGACTAGGGGGCTCAAGAACTCTACTCTGGGCCCTTCGGGGTTGAAGGTGATGCGGGCTTTTAGTTTGGTAAGCAGATCTCTCCCCATAAGGGGAGCTGGGCAGTCAGGTATCACCAGGAAGGAATGATGGACCTTTCCCCTTCCCAAGTCTAAAGTTCTTTTGGTGGTCCAGGCTCGGTATCGGCTGCCGTTGGCACCCCTCACCAGGGACCGCTTAGTTGACAGCGGCCCCAGTGGTGCTTGTAATGCCGAGTAAACAGCTCCGGTGTCCACCTCAAAGTCAACAGGGGTCCCCTCCACATCAAACTTTACCCTGAGCTCGGGGAGGGGGTCCGAGCCCCGTCGCCCCTAGTCCTCATCCAGGGCCAACAAGGTAGACTGCTTGGCCTGCAAGCCCTGTTTGAGCTTAGGACAATCTTTCTTCCAGTGCCCGTACTCCTTGCAGTATGCACATTGGTCCGGGTCCAAGTTTGGTCGCGGCCGTGGCCCAGCCCTGCCTCCCTTCCTGTCTCTCTCTTTACTGCTACCGACTGCCGTGGCCAGGATTTTAGTTAATGCTTTATCTCTCTTTCTATCCCTCGCATCCTCTCTTTCTTCTCTCTCCTTTTCCTTACGTTCCTCTTTCTCCTCCTCCGTCTCCCTTTTATGAAAAACTTTATCCGCTTCTTTAACTAAGTCCCTAAGAGTGAGGTCCTGCAGCCCATCAAGGCATTGCAGCTTCCGCCTTATATCTGCAGCGGATTGGCCAATGAAAGCCATGGCTACTGAAGCCCTCTGGTCCTCCGACTGCGGATCGAAGGGGGTGAACCTCCGATAAGCTTTCCATGAGCCTTTCTAGGAAGACTGCAGGAGATTCAACAGGGCCCTGGACGACCTCCCTTACCTTAGCCAAATTGGTGGGCCGCCTGGAAGCTGCCCGGAGACCCGCCACGAGAGCCTGGCGATAGGAGGACAGATGCTCCCTACCTTCCGGAGTATTAGGGTCCCAGTTGGGGCGCGCTAGTGGGAAAATGTCGTCAATGATGTTCGGCAGCTGTGTCGGGCGCCCGTCCCGTCCCGGGACGTTCTTCCGTGCTTCTAGCAGAATCCGGTCTCTTTCCTCTGTGGTGAAGAGGGTCCCTAGTAGCTGCTGGCAATCATCCCAGGTGGGCTGATGGGAAAACATGAGGGACTCCACGAGACCTGTTAGTCGAGTGGGGTCTTCAGAGAAAGGAGGGTTATTATTTTTCCAATTATATAAATCAGAGGAGGAAAATGGCCAATACTGGAGGGCCGGCATCTCCCCCCCGTTCCCATTTTCCACCATAGGCCCGTAAGGGCGTACCGGCAGAGTAGTGGCCACAGGTCCTTCATCCGGTTGGCACCGGCTCCTAGTCCGCTGTGCTGGCCCGTCGCCCGGTGGCAGCAGGGAACCCTCGAGGGTGGAATCTGGGGAGGCCACCGTTGGGGATGCTGGCCGGAGGGCTGGACCGGGTGCCAGCACTTGGTCGTGCCGCTGCGGTGCCCCGGCCGCCGGAAGCTGCAAAGGCGAAGCATAAGGTGGCGGGAAATCTAGGAGAATAAGATCAGGTTGTGAGTCCGGGAGGACCGGAGAAGCAGAGGGTGGAGGAGAGGGGAGAGCCGGCTTCACAGGGAGAATTGCTGGCTCAGAAGCAGAGACCGAGGACCTAGGGAGAGAACCAGGGGGTAAGAAGGGCTTGACCCACGCCGGGGGGTTCTCACATAAGTCCTGCCAGACCAGGATATAAGGCTCCTGGCCTGGATGTCCGTGTCGGCCAGGCTGAAAAACCAGTTTCCTTACTTCCCTGATGAGAGGCAGATGGAAGGACCCCTCCGGGGGCCATCCGACATTAAAGGCGGGCCACTCAGATGAACAAAAAGTCTGCCATTTACCCTTTTTGATGATAAGAGAAAGGTTTTGAGCTCGTCCCTTGACTTCTGACCAGCGGTCCAGAGTCAGAGACAAAGGAGTAGAGGCAGACTGGCCCATGATCGAAAATACACACACACTCGCACCAACAACAAGAAACAAAGAACAAAAGACAAGGACAGACACAACGAGTTGAGACAAAAATCAAAGGATCCAAAAAGAAGGTCTTTCAAAGCCAATTGACCCAGCTGGCAACAGAGTTTCAGAACAAACGAGAGGAATCCAGGCACCCCTGGTCCTCTCCAGACTCCACCAGGGCGTCCCCCGGGGATGTGGCCTGCGACCTCTCGACACGTCTGTCAGCCGCAGTCGGGGGAGGCTCACGCCCCTCCCCGACAGCCACCAAACCGAACAGAGCTCTGACCAAACAGATTTGCTAGCACTAACCAAACAGATTTCCAAACAGATTTGCCGGCTCTGACAAAATTCGAGCTCTCAATATCTAAGCGATCGCTATTCTTATTCAAAAAGGCGCCGTCACTTACCCCAAGAAGCGTCTGTTGGAACCCAGAGGCGGCTACAGCAATCTCGCTGGGGCCTCCAAAATGTAACGCCCTGGACGCAAGCCGCTGTCACAAAGAACCAAGAGACGCCTCTCATGCAAATAGCAAAGGGTTTATTGTTTCCAACATGCTGGGGCTTACAGCTTACTCTGAGGCACAGAGAAGCGGCTGCAAGCCCCGACCAAGAGTTTAAGTATAGGTTATATACTTTTCAGCAAACGGGGGAAGTAATCTGGGGTCATTCTACTGGGGATCTGGCGCTGTTGTGAGTTAATGCCTGTCTGGTTTCTTATCAAGTTGCTTGTTTCTCAGTTCACTCCCGGGCTGCGGCCATCTCCCGTAACCTCCCTGGCTGCAGCTGTCTCCCATAAAAGTTGTAAAAGTTGTTTGTTTCATCCGCCCCTTCTGACCTTCCTGATTGCCCTGGTGCCGTTTGTTCCATCTGCCTTTTCTGACCCTCCTGACCTGATTATATTGGCGCCTCTCAGTATATGCATACAGACACTATGTCACACACAAACACATACACATTCCATTCACATGATACATAGTCAAACTATGCTGGGAAAGGCTAACTAACCACTACATTCATGCCCCCACACTGGTGCTGCTCGAGCCTGCTGCAGGCGCCAGTCTGAGTCTCCTGGGAATAATTAGAGTGGGAAACTGCCTATCACATTTACCTTGGCTTTTTCTATTTTTCAAATCTTTTTGGTGAATTTGAAAGATTCTTTTAAGGTGGAAAGAAATAAAATTCCAAAGTTACTTTTAATCATTGGTTTAAAAATATGATTGTTCTAACTGTACCAGTTCTAGGTAGCATCAAGTAAGCAGGGGTCAGGGGGCAGCCTGGCACTTCTTGCAGAGTCTGGCAATATCTTTCCTCCAAAGCTTATTTTTTAAAGTTTCCAGCTCTTTGCCACTTACGTCCTCTCTAAATTATACCATGTGCTATATTCTGAGGAAGACATATCTATTTTCATAAAATATTTTTTCTGCATAAATGTTCTAATACCAATTAAACTTGATAAGTACATATCCAAATGAATCATTGCCACTAACATCCCCAATCTGCCATGGAGAAGAGGTTTCCTTGTAATATTTATTGAGCACTTACTGTTACAGAATTTACCAGGCAACCAGAAAATACACACAGGAGTACTCGGAGATTCAGGAAAAAACCATTTATTTTCAGATGTACTAGAATAGTGACTCAGGGGAGCCTGTTTCCAAATCCTGAGTGAGTGAACATGGAGGAAGGTTTCCCTTTATACCCTTTGGTTTCTTTGTCCCCTAAATATGGATCAGGCTTCTGGACCTTTTGCGGGCTTTTTGAAAGCCCCATGTGTTGGGATGGGGGATGTGAGATCACACCCAAAGGCCTTGCCTGGTGCCAGCGCTGAGAACCCCCTCCGGGGTTTGTGTATGGCCTCTGTAACATGGGAGTATTGCGGAAAACAGGTTCTGCAAGACAGGACAGGCATCAATGGAGTTAATTATTGGCTAGCAAGAGTGTGAGTTAGAAAGCAGGCTACTGGCACAGATTCAGATTGCTAGTCCCCCCAAAAATGTCTTATATTCCCCATCATTACTATATGCAAGACATTGTATCGAGACTTGGATAGCTTGTTTTCTTTGTCCTGTCCTTCTTAAATGTCCTCTATGTTTGTATAACATCTCTACTGCTACAATCCTGGTTCTCTTTATCAGCCCTTCATGACTGGATTGCTGTCTTAATTTCTAATATGATATTTCACACAAGTGCTATCTTGATAAAATATTTAAATCATGACTAAAACTCGCAATTCCCCTTTGCTGGCAGGTTACTAAGTTCCCACCCAAACTGTTCCTTTATCAGGCTATCACTCTTGGGCCAGTAACCACACAACTAGAGACAGCCTCCTGCAATGGAGCTGGGAATTTATTCACGTTAGTGAATGCCCAGGAAGCCAGTGAAACCTAGCTACTCTCTCCTCAACCCCACCCCCCACTTCTCATACATAAGCCAGGAAGCTCCTACATCTCCAGTTTGTCCTCACCTGTCCCCTGGGTATAACCCACTAAGCAACCCTTCATGCAACCTTCCTACCTATGAAAGTGTAGGTAACAAAGAGTTCTGCATCACGTCTTTGTGTTGTGTCCTTCCATTAAAAGAATCTTTAAGTTTATAAATCAATCTCTGAACTGTTTTCCAGCTTCTCCTCTTTTCCCACACTGATTTGCAGACTTCTGTTAAATAATTATTTCTCACTACTTTGCTCACTGCATTCCTTTACTCTGACCTCTAGTTTGCTGCTACATCAAGTCTTTAGATTGTCTAGATTTCAAGGCCATAGGTAAATTGGCCTGCTTTGCTTATGCAAATTACACAATGCTCCGCTCCTTATTTTCCTTTGTTTGAGACCTATAATTTACTGGATTTGAACAGATACTGCTGACTCACACCTCCTCTATACTTTTATTCATTGTGTTTTATTTGATTAGAATATCTTTTCCTTTTTGAACTGTCCAAATCTTATCCATCTTGGTGGCCAGAAAGAATCTATATAATAAAAAACCCAGTAGTCTTAAAGCCAAAACGACCAAAGACCGGTCACCAGGAGGCTGCATGCCTGGCGAGGTGCGTGCAGGTGGGCGGGGCTGCATGCGCAGTGAGGCTCATGCGGGTGGGTGGGGACTTGACTCTGGGTTCTGCAGCGCACCGGGACTCGGGGTGGGGGTCCTGGATCTTGCATGATTTTCGCAGGTCCAGTTCTCACTTGATTTCACGTGCTGGGTCACTAGTAGTTACTAAGAGCATGAGCTCTGGATTTAGATTGTCTAGATTAAACTCAGTTCCACCACTTACTCTGTGATCTTTTTTAAAAAAAATACATTTTTATTGATTTCAGAGAGAGGAAGGGAGAAGGAGAGAGATAGAAACATCAATAATGAGAATCATTGATTAGCTGCCTCCTGCACATCACCTAGTGGGGATCAAGCCCACAAACCTGGGCATGAGCCCTGACTGGGAATCAACTGTGACCTGGTTTATGGGTCAATGCTCAACCACTGAGCAACACTGGCCCAGCACACAATCTTATATAAGTCCCTTTGCCTCTTTCTGCCCAGGTTCCTCATAACTAAAGTAGGGATGCATGTGGTGACACCATAAATACAAAGCACATAGCAAGTACTCATTTAAATGGACTTTAATTTTGTTCTTTAAGTTACTTTAAAATTTTCCTTGATTACTGAAGTCTCCCTCACTTTTCCCTCTCTTATCAATTTCTATAAATCTATGGTCTGAATGACCATTTAACAGTTAATTTTACAGTCTGTTTTGTAATATTTCCCTATTGTTGCTTGTGTGTCATTCTTGTTTCTTCAACTAGGGTGTGAGTTCATAAAAGGATTTCATGCTTGTCTAATCCCCATGATAAAAATAGAAAAATATATGTGGCTCTTTTTATGGTCCAGGCACTGTTCTAAACGCTTTACAGATATTAATTACTTAATTTTCTCAATAATTCTAAAAGTAGGTAATATTATTGGCTCTCATTTACTACAAATAAAGTAAGGCATAGAGAGGTTACAATTTAAGGTCAACTAGCTGGGAAATGACAGAACCAGGATTTGAAGCTAGCTGTTTTGGCTGCAGAATCCATTACTATAACTGCCCTTATAAGACCTAGTGCAGTGTATACTGATAATAGATGCACAAGATATATGTTTTTGCTGTTTTTCTTAACTATATACCAATTTCAAAATGACAGTAATAACAAATAAAAAAAATCACTGGTAATTTATTTTTAAAGTATGAAAGAATATGGAAACCCACCTTGGAGAAATGTATGGTATAAATTATGTTTTAAGACTAATACCACTGAAAAATTTTTAGTGCCTATCTATGCATTTTTGTCAATCTTTGTTATTATCCTTATATATTTTTGCATAACCCCTATCTTTTTATAGTCTTATGCTCTTCCTCTTTTTTATTTCTTTTTGCTTATATCAGCAAATGAACATCGATCACATACTCTACTGGTAGCTATATAGCAGAGCTAATAATTTTGTTAGCTTCTAGTCTAAGGATTAAATTTGAGGGCAGAAGCTTTTGCATCTTTTTTTTTGTCATTCTAGTTCCCTCTACATAACCTTGCACAAGACATGTTCTCTTTTTTAGTTAATTTCTACAGTCCTTTTAATACAATAAGCAAATATATACCCCATAGTATTATTCTTTGCTTTAACTAATTTTAATAAATAGTTGTAGTTCCTCAGTTAAAAGTCAATACACTATCAATTTCCTTAAACTATCAGACTAATTAGAAAATATCAAACAGATAATCTTATCACAAAATTACTTCCTTAGTTTCACTTTTATTCATTCAAAAATTAAAACTCTTAACAGGCATATCACTATGATACATCTCTATTGTAATAAACCCAAGTTTTCACCTTTCAATATTGGAAGGTCAATCAGATACATTTTATATATAGATTGAAAATATGTTTCTGAACAAAATACCTTAGCTTAATCATAACTGGGTAGGTAAAAGACAAGTGATTGGGAGT